AGCCCTCTTTTTGTGCACCAAGTGGGAACAGCATAGGGAGTGACGCAGCTGGTTTTCTTGAAACCACTCCCACAAACTAGCTGGAGCCAAGAAAAGGGCCCACACCTTTTGGGGAAGAGGCCTGTGCAGTCTCTGGTACCCATTTAACCTTTGGTTTTACTGCTGGAACTGCCAACAGTCTGGGAACGAAGGAAAGGTAGGGCATGTCGAGTGCCAGCTCTGATGATGTAACCCTAAAATTCACAGCTTTTCTGCCAGGAAAAAAAAAAAGGCAATGGCTTAGAAACTATTTTTTTCCTTCTCTAATATTCAACCAAAATCTATTTTGCATCACTGACTACTAACTTTTTTTTTTTTTTTTTTTTGCATAACTTACTACTTCTTAAAAAAACGAAAAGAACTTAGTATCTAATTCAACTCACTGATTTTAGTTCCTGGGGAACCAAATATGGTGGGCCTGAAATGTGTTTATTTCATACACGTCCCTTGTGCAAGAAGAGCACAACAAAATTCTTCTTGGAAGCATTTACTTTCCAAGCCATATTCACGTGCAGTGAGAGACCTGGGAACGAACTGCATCTAAGCACCATAAGGGCATGCGGCTGTGTGCGCCAGGGCTGCCAGAGACACCAGACAACTATTCCTGGACCCTGGGTAAACACACAGACTTCAGAAGTGGGATCACATTTCAGAGCTTCATCAAATTATAATACACTTGGGAGTGTTGTACCAATGTATCTGACAGATGTTCCCTTTTGTTGGGATTGTCTATTCTGGGGACATTTGGTATCCATGTTTTTGGAAACATTTAGGATATAACAAATTGATCTCTTCTCCTACATGTGACGACAAGACCCAAAGTAGCCTTTTGCTTTTCCAATTTCTAGGTCTAGTTCATGTGATCACAATATCCTTGCCCACTTGATGGACTCACTGGGGCAGAAAGATAATAGCTGGACTGGAAAGGGGTTTCTCCTGGGCTCCAGAGGTCTCTCTCTACCCATGAACTGGGACGGTGGGAATGCAAGGTTCTCTTCATGATTGGTACTGAATGTGACCCAAGCTTTTGGTTTCTTTAGGCTCTGCCTGTGAAAGGGATTGCATGGGGTTTGGGACTTCCTAGAAAGAGCCATAGCAGAAGCCAAAAGAAGAACAAGCCTCAGCTAGGGCAAGAGTCTGGCATCAGCTTTGGGCGGGTCACACCACATGCTTTTCCCATGACTCCTGAAAGAACTCTCCAGCTCTGAGTCTATCATCAATGCTGGGATAGCGAAGAGTTGACAGAGTAATACGAAACACAGGTAACAAATGACAGCTCACCACAATTAAAAATAGTACCAACCCCTATTCACTCACTTCTTTTTTTTTTTAAATTAATTAATTATTATTTTTGGGGGGGGGGGTACAGGCAGAGTGGACAGTGAGAGAGAGAGAGACAGAGAGAAACGTCTTCCTTTTGCCGTTGGTTCACCCTCCAATGGCCGCCGCAGCCGGCACACCGCAGCTGGCGCACCGCGCCTATCTGAAGGCAGGAGCCAGGTGCTTCTCCTGGTCTCCCATGGGGTGCAGGGCCCAAGCACTCGGGCCATCCTCCACTGCACTCCCTGGCCACAGCAGAGAGCTGGCCTGGAAAAGGGGCAACCGGGACAGAATCCGGTGCCCCAACCGCGACTAGAACCCAGTGTGCCGGTGCCGCAGGCGGAAGATTAGCCTATTGAGCTGCGGCGCTGGCCTTATTCACTCACTTCTTAAAACCTGCCCTATGACCACAGCAGGTTTCTGGAATAGTATTACCACTGTTCTTTGCTTTGAACTCTGCAAGAATTAACCAAAGATATTATAATAAACTTCCTTTTTATGTGGGAGATACAATCCAAGATCCTCACTGGATGTCTAAAATTCTGGCTAGTGTCAAACTCTAAATAGCTTATGTTTCTCCTACATATACATACCTATGATAAAGCTGAATTTATAAGTTATGCACAATAAGAAATTAACAATAACTAATAATGAAGTAGAACCATCATGACATGTACAGTCTGAAGTATAACAACAAAACCAGCAGAAATTTCTTTTTTGTTTTTCATAATTTCATGGATAGACGATTCATTCTTACTATAGATCTTACCAACCTCAGTATTTGATTTCTTTTATTATTTTGAGAATTTTCTTCTTTTTAACTTAAAAGCAGCACTTTTCAGCTACTCTGTGGCATATCTGAATTGCCAACATCACTACTCTTCCACTTTGGAGGTATTATCAGGAAAAATAAAGGTGACTTTGACACAGGCACCATGATACCGTGACAACTGACCTCATATGTGAGATGACTACTAAGTGACTGACAGGAGGGCAGCATATATAGTGTGGATATATCACATTCCAGCTGGGATGGAATGGCAAGAGAGTTCATCATGCTACTTAGAAGGATATAATTTAAAACTTATAAACTGGTTATTTCTGGAATTTTCCATTTAATATTTTCAGACTAGTTGACCACACATGAATAAAACCCTGCAAAACCATGGATAAGGGGGAACTATTGTAATAAGTTTAGCAAATATATAAGTCCTTAAAAAGTCATACCCCAAGTGTACTATTTTCCATTTTAAGCTTTCTCTAAAGCATGATTTTTGAAAACCTTTACTTAGGATATAACAACTTTTGGTAGTATAATTTAGCTTTATATATATAGTTCCACCAAATGAATTTGTATTAACCAAGAAAAATACAAGACCTTCCAATATAGCATTTTCAAATATTTTTGTGAGATTTGCTTATCAACCTAGTAAGACTGCCCTTACACAACTATTTACTGCACACTGCATCTGTGCAATGCAATAAAGGAATGAAAAGACTTGTTCCTTACCCACTACTAGCTTACAAAGATTTAAATAAAACAATGCATCACCAACCAAAGCTATGGTGTACAGTTCACAAAATTAGTATAATAGTTCAGTGTTGAAAACAGCTCCATGAAAGGATAGATTAATATGCAAAGGCAAATGGTTGGTAGAGACAGCATTTGAATAAAACCTTAGAAAATGTACAGTATTTCAACAGGAAGAGGGGCTGGAGAAGGGTATTGTGCACGGAAGGAACAACTTTAGCAAAGGCACAAAGACAACAGAACAGACATGAATTGAGAGAACTGGTCAGGTCCGGCTACAGGACAGGCTATGTGAATGCAAGTAATAGCAAACAGATCTGGAAGGAATGGCTGTGACCAGTTTTTAACATAAAGAGAGGGAGCAAATATGGAAAGCTGGAATTTGGAAATAAGAAAGACGTCTTTTAAATTATAGTCTTTCCAAATAAATTTTCATATCATATCTTTCATTTTTTATTTGTACATGTTCTTAGAGATTATTTTTACTAGCCAGTTTATTTGCAAACTTGGTGCAATAACTTCAAAAAATGTTTTCCTAAGCTAGCAATGGTTTGCCTGCAGCTTAACTAATATATTCCTATTACTCCCATCTTGGGATTATTTACTGAAGTCTCTTTTCTCATCAGCAAAACATCTTCTTAATTTAACTCATTAAGCACATACAGAGTAGCTACTCTTGAACTACTTATTTGCTCACTTATTTATACTTTCTGCCCAACTTGTCCCTGCTAACCACTGGCTTACCCATATCAGTAATCACAACACCAATAGGTAATACTTGCTGAGTTTTTGCTATAGTGCCAGACCCTATAATCCATTTGTTATCAACAGTATTTAATATATTACTCAAAACAGCACTGTGAAATCAGTATTACAACCCCTATTTTACAACTGAGGAAACAAGTTCAGAGATGTCAAATATTGTGCCCACTGGTAGGCAGCCAAACCTAGGTTCAGATCTAGTCAGCTTGGTCCTACAGCCTTGCATCTCAGCATCGCACTTACTATCTCTAGCACCTTTTGATTCCTTACTAACATGGGTCAGTATTTTCAGTTTGAAATATTAAAACATGCACGAGCACTTGCTATTCCAATGTAAAATCCTGTTCTAGGTGCTGTTGGACATAAAGTCAATACATGAGAGAATGCCTATGGAACACTGATGCCCAGAATCTCCCACACTTGAGTATAACTAGCTGTATTATATCAGTTTGCAAGATGATGTGTCCATGATCATAAATTAGAACAACCAAAGCCGGAGGGGGTGAAAATGGATGGTGACCACATCTTCTCACAGACAGAAATCAGCCAGCCCTGACTAAATGACTTACAGAGAATTTTAATAACACATTTCAATCAGTGTCTGTGAAAACTCTTAAATGCCGATGAAAATTTTGTCCTAAGTTCCCAACCAAATCTGCTTATAATCCATTTTCAATGAACCTCAGCTTCCTTTGAAGTAGAACAAGCTACTAAAGCATTTAGCCAACAATAAGCACATTGTGAAGCCAGTCCTTATTCATTACTGATGAGAAAAGTTACTTGGTTAGAACACAAGTGTGCTATCAAACTCCTTCCGCCATATAGCTGGATGTTGTGTAAAATCATATATATTTATTTAGACACAGAAAACGAACTCAAACACCATGCTTAAAGCTGCTACTTGTTCTATCACCTGCAGTGACTTCTGAATAAACATCTGCTGAGTATGTTAAAGAGAATGCTTCTGCTTTTGCAGCAACTCCGAGAGTTACAAATACTAAGACACGAAGCCGCACACTGCTCAGCAGTCTTCTTCGGGCTACTACCACTTGTACCCCCGGACACCCCTGAAGGACATCACAATTTTGGACCCACTCTGTCTCCTCCCCTTTCTTTATGTAGGGGCAGTCATAACCCAAACTGCACAGCAGACTTAGGAAAAGAATGCAGGGGCAAATCCAAACTGCATTTACTCTGTAGTTTAAACCTCTCATACATGGAATTTTTAAGGAAAAAAACATGCATAAAAAGAAATAATTTTAGGAGTTCATAATGGCAAAAGAAAGAGTGAGACACATGAGCAAGTCGAAGCACCAGGTTATGTAACATTAATGACGCTGACACTTACTGTTCAATTCGGGGTGACAAGTACAGCTTGGGGTACACTTGGGTGGCTTCAGTATCCTCAAAGCTGACAGAAAGGAGGGCCACATCTTCTCCAGGATCTTCATTTACATCCTTAGACAGGAAGTGAAAGGAAAACGATCAGCACCTGCTCACGTCACCTCCTCCTGTGAGTGAGGAGCTCGCAGTCCACCGCTGCACTGATAGTTGAGGGTTCCCCTTGCTCCACCTGAACAGCTCAGCATGTCTTCTGCCACCAACATTATCACTCCACTCAGAAAGAATGGCTGCCAAACTTCCTGACCAGAAGTTACCATAATCGGGCAAAAGACCACCACATATCTCACGTGTGCCCCCATTCAGGGGTAGGGGGAGTGAATCTGTGATAACAAAGTAATAGACAAAAAAAGTACAGCTGACAAATTGCAGTCAACATTGCTTTGAACATGATTTATATACTAAAAAAACAACAAAATGTTATAGTACCCAGTAATTTTATTATACCTACCTTTACATAATGTTGTTATTTAAATAACAAAAATTCCTAGGAAACAAATCACCATGAAGCATGTCACTACGCAAGCAGACGGCAGAGGAGTTAGGTACACATCTGCTTTATGAAATGATTATGGGTGATTCACATGAGAACCACAAGACACATCCATACATATTTTAGAAGTCCAATTATAAGAACACTGTAAGACAAAAACACTGTTGATCCAAGTGTGTACCAATAAACACTATGAGGTTAACCAAATAACCCACAATAAACTAAACTTTTTAACAGTAAAGCTGACCTTACTGTGATTTATAATTAAGAATCAAGAATGGGGAGGGTATTTAGCCTCGTGGGCAGGACACTGGTTACAATGCCTGTGTCCCATACTGAAGTACTTATGTTTGATAACTGGTTCTAGCTTCTGGCTCCAGCTTCTTACTAATGCTGACCCTGAGAGGAGGCCTTGGTGATGGCTCAAGTAATTGGGGTAAATGTTACCCATGTGAAAGACCTGGATTGGATTTCTGGCTCCAGCCATTGCAGATATTTGCGGAGTGAACAGGTAGAAGGGAACGTATGCACTCTCGCTCTTCTTCTCTCTCACACACAAACATAAACAAACAAATAAATAGATTTTTTTAAGCTTAAGAATAGAAGCAATTAAATGTCATAACAAACTCCAGCCAGCACTGATGACACACTGATGAAGTATCCAAAATCAAGATTGTGGAACTTACAACTACAAGCATGTACTTTACAATTATTGCCAAGTGTCAAGTGCCTGCCAGACTTCTAAAAAAAACACTGAATTGAGATAAATCTGGTAGCATATTGATCTTAATTTGTAAGTATCCCATTTTAGTAAGCTTTAATATTTTATTTTTGGTTGGTGGTAGCTTCAAGTAAAATACAAAATTTTTCTATTTTAAAATTTCTTTATTAATATAAACAGAACAGATTTTATGTATTCCACAGGTACATTTCCAAGAAGACAACCATACTTCCCTCACTACCTTGGTCACCTCCAATCTCCCTCCCTCCCTACAGCAGTAAAAAAAAAATGAACTCTGGTCATTTGCAACAAAATGGAGGAATCTGGAAAACATCATGCTGAGTGAATTAAGCCAGTCCCAAAGGGACAAATATTTTATGTTCTCCCTGATCAGTGACAACTAACTGAGCACCTAAATGGAAACCTGTAGAAGTGAAACTGACAACTATGAGAAACAATGATTTGACCAGCCCTTGTCCTGACTTTCGAGGAACAGCTTACTATTTTATTCCTTTTAGTTTTTTTTGTTCTACTTAATACTACTGGTTGAACTTCGTAATTAACACACAATTATCTAAAGTGTTTAAATTTAACTGAAAATTTATCCCTGTTAAAAATAAGAGTGGGAATAAGAAAGGGAGGAGATGTACAATTCGGCACATGCTCAATTGGACTACCCCCTAATGGTAGAGTTAGAAACGTGCCAAGGGATTCCAATTCAATCTCATCAAGGTGGCATGTACCAAAGCCATCTCACTAATCAAAGTGACCAGTTTACGTTCATAATTGATCATAATGATAGTATTAAGAGTCAAAGGGATCACATAAATAAGACTAGTGTCTGCTAATACTAACTGATAGAATTAAAAAGGAAAGAACGATCCAACATGGGAAGCAGGATACACAGCAGACTCAATAGAATGGCAGATGTCCTAAACAGCACTCTGGCCTCAGAATCAGCCCTTAAGGCATTCAGATCAGGCTAAAAAGCCCATGAGAATATTTCAGGCATGGAAAGCCAAGATACTCTGGCAAAAAAAGAAAAAAAAACCTAAATGAAAGATCTCCGCGAGTGAGATCCCAGTGAAAAGAACAGGTCATCAAAGAAGGAGGTACCTTTCTCTGAAGGGAGGAGAGAACTTCCACTTTGATTATGGCCTTGTCTAAATAAGGTCGGAGTTGGCAAACTCAAGAGGCTTCCATAGCCTTGGCAGCTCATGACAAGAGCCTCAGGTGATTACTAATGCCATAAATAAGAATGTCAATTGTTAAATCAACAACAGGAGTCACTGTGCACTTACTCCCCATGTAGGATCTCTGTCCTTAATGTGTTGTCCAATGTGAATTAATGCTATAACTAGTACTCAAACAGTACTTTATACTTTGTGTGCCCGTGTGTGCAAACTGTTGAAATCTTTACTTAGTATATACTAAGTTGATCTTCTGTATATAAAGATAATTAAAAATGAATCTTAATGAAGAATGGGATGGGAGAAGGAGTGGGAGATGGGATGGTTGCGGGTGGGAGGGAGGAATATGGGAGGAAAAAGCCGCTATAATCCAAAAGTTGTACTTTGGAAATTTATATTTATTAAATAAAAGTTAAAAAAATACAAAAATTTAAAACACTTAATAGAATTGCATGTCTTTCATTCACAGGGACTGGAAAGACTTGACCTCTATTTCTGGATCAGTTCCTATGTCCTCAGGTAGGCTCAGGGGACTCTCAAGTTGGACTTAAAGATTCACCACCCCTTGAGCATTGAGAATCTCCGATAAGAATCTTATCTTTCATCTGTCTCAAAGTAGCCCCACCTCTTCTTTTCCTGCAACCCAGGAAGCTAGCCATTATGCTCACTCCGCTCAGCTCTAATGCCTTCAGTCTCCTTGAGCTGCCTCCTGAGCCTGGAAGATATGGAAGGATGATATACATCCGCAGCCCCAAGGAACCCTAGTCTCTCATGCTAAAAAACTTGAAATGTTAAAACCAAAGGAAAGAGTCTCGCTGGACTCTACCTATCTCCTGGCTTCTCTCTCATCTCTTTCCTCTCCTTCACAAACAAACCCAAAGAGTGGTCTACACTCCCTCTCTAACCCCTTCTCTCCCACACATCCCTGAGTAGCCTACTGGCTGTGCTACTTCACCAAGACTGCTCCAACTGCAAGCAGCCAACACTTTTTCCTTTTTTACGTACTGTCTAAATCTGACAAAGATGATCATTTGCCTCCGAAAATTCTCTTTCCTTGCTTCTAAGAAATCCCATTCTCCTGGTCTTCTGTTTCTTTGGCCAGTTCCTCTTCCACTTTCATTCTTCATTTTTTAATTTTTTTGCTTTACATTACTAATATTGGGCTTGTTCTAACAAAGTCCAACTATATATAAGTTTATAAAGATAAAAATCTTCCACTTCCACTTTTAAGGTAACAAATATTAGCTGTGTGTATAACTTTAAACAGCTTTCTCTATGCTCATAAACACACAAACACATGGGCAAACACCCTTGCATATAAACAGCTCTTTAATCTTCTGTTTTGTTTCCCCTAATGGGATCATATTATACATATAACTCCACCAAATGCTTCTTAAATAGCCACATAATATTCCATGGCATGGATTTATTTTTTATTAAACCATTTCCCTGGCAACAGACCTTCAGGTTGTTTGCAATTCTTAGCCATTTGATAGCACTGCAACAAATATTCACGTGTGTGTGTATGTATGTCTTTTAGTAGTGAGACTTCTATTTCATTTATTTATTTTGAAAGAGTTACAGGGTGGGGGAGAGAGGGAGGATGGGAGGGAGGGAGAGGGAGAGAAAGAAGAGAGGAAGAGAGAGAGAGAGAGAGAGATCTTCCATCCACTGGTGCGCTCCACAGATGACCTCAATGGCCAGTGCTGGGTCAGGCTAAAGCTGAGCCAGGAGTTCCATCTGGGTCTCCCACATGGGTGGCAGGGGCCCAAGTACTTAGGCCATCTTCCCCTGATTTTCACAGGTCATTAGCAGGGAGCTGGATTGGAAGTGGAGCACCCCAAACATGAAATGGCACCCATGTTGGACACTGGTGTTCCAAGTGGCAGCTTTATCCACTATGCCACAATGCCAGCCCTGGGACTTCTATTTCTTAATAAACAACTAAAATTGTTTATTTTGTTCTACTTAATACTTTTGGTTGAATACTGTAATCAATACACAGTTATTCTCAAGTGTTGAAACTTAACTGAAAAGTGATTGCTGTTAAATATAAGAGCGGGAGTAAGAGAGGGAAGAGATGTGCAATTTGGGACATGCTCAAGCTGACTTACCTCAAACGGTATAGTTAGAAACATACCAGGGGATTCCAATTCAATCCCATCAAGGTGGCATGTACCAATGCCATCTCACTAGTCCCGGTGATCAATTTCTGTTCACAACTGATCACACTGATAGGTCTAAGAGCCAAAGGGAGCACATAAACAAGACTAGTGTCTGCAAATACTAGCTGACAGAATAAAAAAGGGAGAGAATGATCCAGCATGGGAAGCGAGATACACAGCAGACCCATAGAATGGCAGAAGTCCTAAACAGCACTCTGGCCTCAGAATCAGCCCTTAAGGCACGCGGATCTGGCTGAAAAGCCCATGAGAGTATTACAGGCATGGAAAGCCAAAACACTCTGGGAAAAAAAAAAAAAAAAAACTACATGAAAGATCTCCGCGAGTGAGATCCCAGTGAAAACAACAGGTCATCAAAGAAGGAGGTACCCTTCTCTGAAGGGAGGAGAGAACTTCCACTTTTACTACGACCTTGTCTAAATATGATCAGAGTTGGTGAACTCAAAAGGCTTCCATAGCCTTGGCAACTC